TCTCTTTATCTACTGGAATGATCTGGAGCAAAAACAGAAGTGCTCATAGTTATTTAACAAACTCACCTTTCCAGTAGCCTTCTTGTACCTGTGGACTGCTTGTCTTATGAGGTCCTTTACCAGTATCTCTCCATCTCCACAGGGGACTATGACCCTCACAGGGCCAAAACACACTGTCACCTTCATGATTACAAAACACTTAATCACAAACACACTAGGCACTTGAACAAATAAAGGCACTATTGGGCACTTATCCAGGTAAATACGCCATTACAACTGTTACAGGTAAAAATACCGCGCTGTAGACAGTTGAAGGCTATTCGTTTAACACTATACTCGGGAAGACGGTAAAATACGAGCACTGTTTAAGGCAATATAAGGCACGACTTGTTAAATATATGTAACTGTTTGTAAGCTCAATCACTGTACTACATTTTCCCGTGGCCCCCGAGCGCCCTATGCCAACGGTCCAACACACCTGCTGCCAGCTACGCAGGCGCCCTAAGCTATTTACGGTGCTGCCATCTACTGACACAGGTAGAAAATTTGCATTACTTTCCCGCCCAATTGAATTAATTGACATTATTATTGTTCTAGCAAATATAGAGCAGTTGTTATTCGATTTATAACAGTTACTTTTTGCTATTAATTATAATTATGAAAATGAATTATATCACAGAATAATTGAAGCATCCTAAATGCTCATACATAAAACAACAATTTTTATCAGCATGAAAATTTTTAAATATTAATTAGTAAGTATAATTTAGTTATTAATTATTTTTATGTTTAATAATTTCTATTCTATTTGCTATTTGGTCAATATAAAAAAAAAAAAAAAATTGAGGATTACTTTTTATATTTATTTATTTATTGTATTTAATACTTTTTATTAGTTTTGTTTCACCATTAAATATTTACCTCTTTATATAATATTATTAGAGAAGTGATAATTAATGTTTTCAATATATTCTGATCAAAATTATTCAAATACGAAAAATTGAATCATTTTGTTTTCCATGGTTAGCTGTCAGAGTATTTTTATATCAGTTTAATATTTTACAAATGTGTTTTATTTCTGCTACTCTATAGATTAATTACAATTATTCCTATTAATCTATAGTTTTTAAAATGAATATATTTGTCATTTTTATGGTTCTCAGCTTATGTGAATATTTATTTAAAATAAAATAACCTAAAATTTTCTATCATAGTATATTTTATGCATTTTGAATGCGTCATAGTATATTTTGGACATTTGGAATCAGCCATAGATTCCCTCATATGCACAAATTATATTAGTTTACACCTTAGTAGCATAAAACCTGGGTTGTGTTGATGCCATTTTTCTGATATAATATACATTTAAATCAGTGTGGTGCTTCCTTCTACTAATTATTATCTGTTAATAGGCTTTTCTGTAGTCTTTCTAGTAAAGATTTTTTTTTTCCCTACCACTGTAAAAATGGTGTTAATGGTTGAACCACTGAAGACAAAGTTGGTGTTCTTTGATTATTACTTTATCGATATTCAATGCTGCAAGCTACAGCTACAGAGTAAGAACTGATCATGAATTTTCTCTTGTCGTCTGTATCATTTTACGACGACTTGCGGACTTTTTTTTTTTCAATTGAATCAATTGAAAACAAGAAAAAATTATATTCAATCATGAAAATTGATATAGTCTATTCTACTACAAAAAGTTATTTATTTTAATTGTGGAATAGCCTTTTTAATGAAGATTTAGATTTTTGTTTTTCATTTATAACAAATTATAAATCTGATATGTTTTAGTTGTTAACGCGGATAACGAAAATTTTTATTATAAATGGATCATTTAATATTGGAAAACCACTAATGATAACCACTAATTTGAAATGCCATAGGGCTTCTGAGCATTGTGTTTAAACACCTAATGATATTTTTGATAATATTTTTTATCAAAAAATATTTTCTTGATTTTATGATTTTTATTTTTTTAAATTAAAGGCTTCAACCACTAGGGTCATTATTTCCTTATTTTCATTGAGAATTAGATTCTATTTTCAAGTTTCGAACATTTCAGAAATTGATTCTTTATTAATTGATGCTTTATTAATTGATTCTTCATTAATTGATGCTTTATAAATTGATTCTTTAAATTATACCTTTTAAGAGAAAAAACATATTTAAATAATTATTTAGATGAGGACCGCATGGGTTATGCGTGGTTCGCAATCACTTCAATCACAGTTGTTCATTAAACACTGAAAAATGTCTTTTGGATAAAACCGGATCCATTTGGCACTCCATGAAGAAGTGTGGCTGAAGCGATTGTGAAACGTGTGGTCCTGATATAAATAATTACTCATATTTATTTATGTTCTCATTAAAATAATGTTTTAGAAATACCCTTGAACATCTAGTTTTCAGTTGATCATGGAAGAAATAACAAAAACATGATTTAGCGTTTAAAACAGAACATTTTTTAGGCATCTCCAGACTACTTTAAGAATACAATTATTCACTGATGACTAACATTCTTTAATTAATCTTTCATATAACCAAGTTATAATGAAATTTGTGGTAGTCAAATTCAAATAAATACAAAAGAATGCTATGTCAATCAATCCACACATATATTATTACAGTAAGGCTCGAAATCGGTTTTGTACCAAATATAAACTCCTGTCCTGCCCAAATATCATGAATGGGGTACCGTTGGATTCAGAATTTCATGGGGGGTTAGCGAACCATATTCTCCACTTTTGTTTTTCTTTCTAAAATAAATAAAGTCTATACAAACATTTTGCTAGGCTTCAATACTGGAACTGTGGTAGGTCTGTAGATCGATACGGGACAAATTAGACCTTGAAGATTTTGATGCGTACAGCAAGACCCGGATAGTTCCTCCCGGGACTATTTTTTTAAGCCCAAAAACATACTATTTTATGATAACGCAAGGCATAGGGTTTGCATCCACACAACCTTACGTTAACCATAATACTGTCATTGAGTACATGTCTCATTTCATCGACTTGAGGTCTCTATGATCAACTTCATTTGCGAATAACTAAAAAATTACACACTTTTCCTTTGGTTATGCCTATGATTATACAAAAAATTACTAAATTCCCTACAAAATGAAAAAAAAAAAAAATCATCAAAATCGAACAATTCTTAGCAAAGATACAGCTTATTGAAATTTTTAAACATTAATGAAAATTTAAATTAATTTTTGTTTCCATTGTTGATTATATTTATTGATAAAGTAACAATTGATTTCTTTATCTTTTGATACGTTGCATCATTTTATTTTCTTATTAATGTAACATTTGATAACAATATGCTGTGCGAATTTTTCGCACGGGCCTACTAGTTGTTAAAAAATATTAAATTTATTGTTTGAGTCAAAGCAATGTACCATACATCAAATACAATACATCAAAACGAATTGGTACATTGTGATGAACTTTGTGTTCTTATTTTAATTCTTTGTGTCCTTATTTTCTTATTGAAGCAGGCTACTAACATTTCCTTGGACATCAAATTAATTTTAACTCTGGCATTAATCTTCCACTCTCTCAGTTGGCCTGAGAAAAATCCTGTATAGCTGCAAGGAAGCAAAGAAAAAAAAATGTGTTCCTAAAAGTGGATGCGGCAGGTAAACCACCGAAGTGAATACAATTTTTAAATAACAAAACTAAAAATGAAAGTCTAATAGCTCTAGAAAATGGAACAAGAATATATTTGAAAATGATTTTGTATTCTAAATATTATTAATATTATTGTGTTGTTTAGAAATAAATTTACTTAAGCAAATTTTTTTTTAAATATTTTTTATCGTTCATATTCTTTAATAATTGTAAAAAAATAAATAAATTACAATAATAATGGAAGACTGTAAATTTTGTTTAGTAGTTTTTGCTGACATACAAAAAAGATTGAGAAGCAATGCCTTAAGAGTAAATCTAATCTATGGAAATGTAGGAAGGAGATCTATTAGTACTATGGATTGACTTTGACATCTTGGTATAGTTGATGACTTGGTAGTAATATTTTTACTGAACAACTAATGGCAATTTAGTTGTAAATCACCAATACTAATTGTGGAGGGAGGGGAGCCAGAGGTGCAAGGTTCATCTGCACTTTGGAAAAATGGTTGATTTTGATAAAACTATTTCTCATGTTTTTATAGGTCTACTAATGGGTCAGGGAAGAGTGGGCTAACACATGTGAAGGTTGCCTGGAAACCCTGATTGAAGATATTATTAATTAAAATAATTAGGAGTTCGCATGCCGGTGCAATGGGGGGCTTTTAACTCTGGCATAAATTCCTCACCCTAATTTCCTGCATCCCTGCCCCCAGGAAATCCTTGTATAGCCTAAAAGGCAAAAAAGTCAGGACAAAAAAAAAAAAAAAAGGTCTACTAAGGTTATTGTCATGATGTAATGTGATTGAAGGTCATGTCATGTCAAAATCTTATCAAAAAGAAACGAACTTGGAAATTTTTCCTCATAACTTAGCAATTGAGAAAAAAGAAAAGAAATTTGTTTAAAATATACCTTCCAGTAACAATACTCATAAATAACTGTGAATAAATTATCATTCATTAGGAAGGAAAAAATTGAAGAATTGACCGACCTTGTAAGAAATTAAGTAATTGCAAATGCATCAATGAAATAAATTAATTACCTCGTCTATGTATATTATGATCAATTTTGAACAGTTTGAGATATGAACTAGTTAGATAGCCAATTCATAAAAATTTTTCCCTTGGATCCTGAGTCATCCTGATTATTCCCCTCCTCCCAAAACAATTACCTCAGGATTTGACTGTAATCCTAATCTGCCCAATTACTATAAGAATTAGTTAATTCAAAAATTCCAATTTAATTAGAAAAACAATTTACAGCAGTTTTCATTTAAACTGGTTATGAAATTATTCTGACGTTCACATTCTTGTTTAAAGAAAAAACACAGGTAGAAAATTCCTTGAAATTCTCAAGGTAACATAATATCATTAACCAAATCAATTATATTTGTATTATAACAAACATTTATTGCATTGTTACAAGTTATCATCAATAAAATAAAATTAATCATGTGAAGTGGTAGTTTAAATGTTCATAGAAACATTGAGATAAATAATGTAATGGACTATTTATAAAGAAAAATTTATAAAAAAAAATCTATACCATATAAGATTTATCTATTTACATATTAATACTATATCCAAAAATATGAGTTAACTTAGAAACTAATTGTCAAAATGCACATTTAATTTCAGAAGTAGTTTTCAGCACCATGTACCACTATCTACAAAACCTTCTTCCTTTCCTTATTGTCCTATAAGTATAAAAAATAATAGCCTCTCTCCGCTTCACTCCACACCTTGGTACATAATTTATGTTTAAAACTATGTGCACTGCTATATTTGCATTATTCTCGTCATCCAACAGACTTTATCAGTCTTACAAATTTATACTGTGGCCTTAAAGTAAATATTAGAAAAAAGTTTTTATAAATACATATGTTACATATACATAATTTACATAGTGAAGATACACACACAACAGCTTTAGGAAATTAATCTTTAAAAACAGTACCATTCATTAATTTATTATTTTTTTCTACCATCTTCAACTATTAGGTTAATTTATTTAAGGCTTCAATAATTAGTTTTTAGATTTTTCAATTGTTAGTAATATGTAAATATGATTCTCTATGTTTTTCTGAAGTTTGTATCAGTTATCATTAAAGTATTTATGTTTTCATAATATTACCATTAAAATAATCACATGAAAATATTCTTATTTATTTATTTTTTTAAAAATACTATTATAAAATATATATATATATATATATATATATATATGATTATATATATATATATATCAATAAATAAATAAATAGTTTCATGATGCATTCAATTTATTGAATGATGCTATTAAACTTTTTTTTTGGAATGATTTATTTTGTTTCATTTTTAACTTTTAATAATATTTTTTTATTTTTAAATATGGCCTTCAGAAATTAAATCCAGTAATATTTTATTGCTGTAAAATATATAATGTATTTAAAATGTATTGGATATATATAAATCCAAGATATATTCTAATAAGATTTTATAAAATGAAAATATATTTTAGAAGTTAGCCTAATAACCACTAGCCTTAACAATAAAAACAATACTACTGGAAATTTGGCAAAAAGCACGAATAGCTAACTTTAATAAATATTTGTACTTAAAGACATGCAAAATTATGTTCCCTTAAGTTGCCCAATTATTTTTGTCTCTAGAATTTCTAAAACTGTTGTGCTATCTCAGAGATTATCCAAATCTCAATTTTCCTTCTTAACATTCACTTATAATATTAACAAATATTACATAACATTAAGTAACTTATGCATAACAATAACATAATAATAATAATAGGAACTTAATACTGTACATTGGCATCAAAACAACTCCACACCTGCATTACATTGACTGTACAGTGGTGGTGTATGATATTACGTATTGTAGGTGAATCTAATATTAAATATAAAATAATAATACAAAATACTGAGAGATAATAAACAAAATACTATTACTCATTGATTATAAAAATAAATATGTCAAATAATGCTCAGCAAACTTAAAGAGAAAAAATAATCATAATCCCATTCAAAATTAGGTAATAATTCAGGTACACTGTGATATTGGTATATTTGTTACTGTAAACTGTATTGATATGGTAACATAAATAACTTTATGCATTCTATTTTGTATCATATGAAATTGGAACTTTCTTAAGTACACACCAGTCAGATCTATACAAGAATTATATTTCAATTGTTAAAAAATTACAAGAATTTAATATTTATTCGTCTAAATCTATTAAAATTAGCATATTTACATATGGCTTTATTTCTCTGAAATTGAAATTAAAAATTTTGAACATACATATTTACAGAATTAAATATTTAAAAACAATAACAAAATTTGGAAGACGCGATAAATGTTATTATACTTCCTTAAGCACTTGGATTTAAATGCTTACGCCGAGCGTACCTTCTTCGGCGTTTGCACTGAGCTGTACAGCACTCATCTTGGCAAGCAGTTTTATTGTTGCACCTTTTTCTTTCACATCTAACATTCCCTTCCTAAAAAAAATACAAAAATATAATATAAATATCAAAACGAAGTTATATATATAATAAGAAACAAGAAATACTGTTAGATTCAATAAAACAAATGTTTAGATAAATTAAATTTTATGTTCAAAAATCACTTTCCTTAATTTAGTTATAAATCGAGTATATTAATTATTTTTATATTCATACTCACTACTTATTAAAATGACTTTAATACATTTATAAAATCATTATTTAAAATATATATATATATATATATACATCATTGATTAAATAATTCTTAATATCTTTTTAAAAATATAACATCCAGATTAAAAAAATAAAACTATAATAAACAAATGCAACAGTTTTTATTAAAATACATACCAAACATTTACAGATGACACATTTGATTTCTCCCCCTGAATAAAGCCTAGGATGCCATTCTTGACCATTTTTAAATGGTCCTCCCATAGGATATTCACACTCTCCACTTCCTATCATATCTGCCTTACTATCATCATCTTCTAGTGATTTGTTCCCAAACTCTTCCTAAAAATATTGACATTTAGAACTGTACTATAATTTAAATATTAACATGTTCTTAAAAGGCAATAAAATATTTTGATGAAAATTACTTAGAGAACATTATCATATCAGTTTTTCATTTTCATTGTAATTATAATCAAAGAAACAAGAATGATATGCAGCCAAGATCAAAGCCATCAGTATATATAAAAAAATACATTTATGGAGAAAACATGCACCTCCATGGCCAGAATAGATAATGAAAATATGTAAACATGTTTTAATATATGCCATATTTTTATGACAATTAATTTTTTTTTTTTGTTTCGGTTGACTCTGAAAGTGATACTTGTTAATTGGTTCTTACAAATATAAAATTGCACTAAAAATTCAAAATAATTTAATTATAGACTATAAAATAGAGAAACAAAGCAGTATAGACTGCACAAATGCCTTGATAATAAATCTTAGCATTATAATAAAAATAAAAATCAAAATATTCATCTATACAAACAAGTGAATATTTAGAAGACCTTTCTAATAATTTTTAATTAAAAAATTAAGGATTGTTTGGATTATAGAATTTTTAATAAGGTTGTTAACCAATTTCTTGGCTTTGCAGCCCAGGAAAATCCCTGAATAACCAAAAAGACGATGAAGGAGGGGGCAGGGAAAAAAGGGTTGTTTCACTTTCCATCAAGTTGTCAATGACCACTTCTGGAATAAAATCTGAAGTGAAACTTGACGATTGCATGTCAAGTTTTTTTATTTATCAAGGTTCTTCATATAATACTTAGACCAATGAAGGATGGGAACAACTGAAAAACAGAAACAAATGTGGAGGTTTATGGGCGGGTGTGAAGGAGAGTGTCAGATCAGAGGTATTGAGGACTTTGTTGCACTGGACTCATTGCATGAATGCCAGCAGAAAAGATCAAAAAGATATGGGAACAAATGAAGAGAAAAACCATGATTAAGATGAGGGGATGCTATAGTAAGGGGTACCCCATACCTTCTGGGCACCTACAACTGGTGATATAGACTGAACTGACGAGGACTCTTTATGAGGCCAAGGACTTTACTGGTCTGAACTGCCAGGGAGTTGTATTAGTAATTGTAATAAAAGAATAATTTGAATATTTATTGGGATTGCAGCATGATTGTTATATGATCTGATTGAATGAAGGTAAATTTATACTTCATTACTCATATATCCTATGAATATGCTATAATATATTGTCAAATAAAATGAATATGTATTACCTCAGATGGACTGGAAGGGCAAACTTTGCAGCATGATTTCTTATCAATTTTGACTGCTACTCGCTCATCACATGGTAGTGGAGGGCATACTGTGCGAGGACAAGATACTTTGAGAGAAGAAGCCTGAAAAGAAATTAAAAATTAAAAAATTATGCAAATACATAAAATTAATCTTTTAATTGTTGGGAGAGAGGTTTAATTAATATATATTCACTGTAACATGCTTAATTAAAATCAAGCTACATTCCATAGGTGATAGACAATCAGGACTCAGTTAATTTTTGGAATTGGGATTTAATGTAAGCTATAAAAAAAGATTTCCGAAAATTGACTGGGTTTCAATTATCTTTCTCCCATGAAATGTAGAATAGTCAACAAACTTCCATTAAGTTATATTCATTTTGTTTATTTGAGTATTTTTTTATTACTCTATTAGTTCATCTGTAGAATTTCGTTCTTTATTAGTTAATTTTCTTATCCTGAAAATTCTTTCATTTTATTTATTTATCAATCTATGGCTAAATTTCATATCCTTCACTATGCACAATGATAGTAATCAAAATTTGTTTATAAATTAGTGAAAGCTCCAGTTTTTTTGTTTCTTATCTTATTACATTAAATAAAAAAATAACCATACCCCCCCCCAACAATAATTTTTATTTCTCTTTTTCTATGGGGTTGGTAGAGTCCGTCTAAGAGAAGTTTACCATTGGATAGAGAAGAGAGGTGCACAGTGGCAAAATGTTTTCCTGTTGATCTCCCACTCTTTTGTCTTCACTCATTCATATGTACTTTTACAATTTTTTTTACATGTTGAAATTTCATTCACCATATCCTTCATTTCTTTTGCGATATTAGAATTTAGAAGAAAATTGAACATTGAAAAACGCATTCCCAGAATAAAGTGATTGCGAGTTCCTTTTCCCAACAGGTAAACTTATCTGAGACGTACTATGCAATTTTCACACAGATTTTAGATTTAGGTTTGTTTTTTATTAATATTCAAACACATGCAATTATATATTTTATAAGAATTGAAGATATAAATTAATTATTAATGAACTTATTCTACTTACATCACAAGAACAAATGGTGCATGTGTCAAACCCGATTGGTGGTAGGTATGGATGCCATGTAGATCCTGCCGGAAAGAATTGACCTGCCATTTGACAACCCCTTAAGATACCTTCTTGTTCTACTACTCCTGTTTTATCTAAAATTGATAATATATTATTAGTATTATGATTTTTAATTATAATTAATATCACTAACTATATATTTTTTTTGTTTATAAGTAAAAAAAGTTATATTACAACATGATAAGGTAACTTACTAATACATTGGGTCTGGCATGAGAGGGAGCCTAGACTACAAGAGCAAACTGTACAGGGATCAGAAGGATCACGCCATTGTTCTCCATCATTATGGAACATTCCACCATGATAACAAGCAGCTGTTGTGATCAGTATCCCAGAACCATCTGATCTGTATGTGGGATCAGAACTGGCAGTTTCTGGCAAACAAGATCTCGGAATGTCTTTCTAAATTGGAAATAAACAAGATAATAAATGCTCAAAATAACTCAGTAGTATAAAAAATAAATAAATAAAAAATATCCTATATAAATATACTAAAAATCATTTTATTCACAAATATTTTACAATTCATTGAATAGAAAAAATGATATTTATAATTGCATCTAAACTACAAGTCAATTAAATTAACCAATCTTATATACTGAAATTGATTCAGAGTAGAAATATTTTCCTTTTTCTATTTGATTTTTCCTTGATAGTTTCTTTATTTTTTTAAACTTATGTTGATGTTAAAAAAGAAAAGTTATAGTTAAGGATACTTAAATAACTGAAATATATAGGATTTAAGATAGTTCTGTTTCTTTTTTATTAATCCATGGTTTCATATCATGCTCATAATTAAAAGAAGAGATAAAAAAAAAAAATTGAAAATAGTATCTTACATGTTCCCACAGTGCAGACATTAATACATTGTCGGTAGCATTATCTCTAAGTTCAATAGTGACAACTCCAGAATCAAGAATCTGGATCTCTGATGGCGGAAGACCAAGGAGTGAACCCTCAAGACGGAAACCATGCCCACAGTCTATCTGACGAAGAGTGACTGGTGCTCCTGGCGCAGCAATTGGTACATGATTTAGCCAAACACAATACTCCCGGTTTTCTGTTATCTCAGCCTGTAAATTAAAGATGTACAAATTAAATAATGATGTATTACCTAAAATGGTATAAAATTATTAATATTTATAATTTAAAAAAAATTCTAGAAAACTTAAAAACATATATACTTAAAAACATGTTTATTTAAAATTAATTTAGTTAGGTTTATATTTTTAAATTGAAGATATGCAATGGTTGAAATATTTAGAACTAATTAGTTGTAAGATTTTTATGTCCAAAAAAGTTGTTTATGTGATGATTTCAGTAATTCATAATTAATTATACACAACTTTATTTTTTTTTTAGACTGAGATGCTAATTCTTCAGTCAGATAGCTACAAAACTATCCCTATGAATGGGTTAAGTTCCAAACCTTGCCTCTTCGGAAAAAGTAGTTGTTCAATAGCAGACATAAAGGTTTCATACTTTATTCATAAGATAAAAAACCACATTATTGAGGAATTATCACACAGTCATAAGGTAAACTGTGTAATTTGGAAGATGGCTGATATTAATTCTATGAAATAATTTTATTGGTTAATTAATATATATAATTTATAAATTACCTCATAATACAGACTGCATTGTGAATCAACAGCTACCCAGATGACAGCTGCTAAACTGCCAAGTACACCTAAGGATGGTTTCATAAGCAAGGGATTCAGTGTAGACCTCGGAGGTGCAGCAGATCTTCCTTGCATTTTTCCATTCATTTCTGCAACATTAACTTGCAGCTGTCCTGCGTAGAGACCTTCCACCAGCCTGGGAGATGTTTTCTCCAATTTGTTTCCATCAGCAGGTATTTCTTCTAATTTTCTTTCACCTGATTCTGTCAATAATTCTGTTAATACATCTAAAAATATATTGAGGTTAATATGGTGTTATACAAAATGAAGCGAGAATTGACTATTACAAAGCATGCACTTACAACCAAAAAATTATTTGGTTAATAATTGTATTACTAGTGTGAATTAAAAAATAAAATATTATTTCACTATTAAAAGTGCATAGAAGAGCTAAATAAGTAAAGAAAAGCTTAAAGCAAATTTTAAAAATATAAAATAGCTGAGTTAGTGGTTGTTGGCGGCATAAATAGGCAGATTTGAAGCAGTTCTATATATATGTTTATATTTCAAATAATAAAAATTTTATAATTAGTTTTAACTGTCATTTGTGATGTAGAACTATTGGTTGGAAAAAAAAGTTAAGAGATTATACAAGAAAAAAAAAGTATATGAACTCTGTAAAAACCACCTTTTTTAATTTAAAATGTTAAGTTATTCAGTCTGAAATAGTTAGTTATAATGTTAATAACTTAGTAAATAAATCATTCATAGTATAGCTCGCCCACAAGAATGTGATATACTGCATGTAAGTTTGTCCAGAAATAATTTGAAACCAATGCCAGTTTCCCTTTAACAGATATGTTATGTTAGTGACCTTATGGGTGAATTCTTAATCCCCATTCATTTATTAAATCTCATCTTCATTCAGATTATTTTCAACAACTTTTTACATTTACAGTGAAATGAAAACAAACATGCCATTTATTGTTCGTCAGGTAAATTGAATGTGTGGAGGAGTTTCTACTCCTCTCACAGACTGCTTTCTCATCAGGTCAGGAACAAAGATTTTCGCCGTTACTGCAAAAGTCAATATTTTAGAAAAATATAAGAGAAATTGGTTGAGGTATTCAGTCAAAAAACAAGGTGAAAATATATAAATAATGTTTATTTCTACTTTGTGTTTTTGTCTGAATACCCCAACAAACTTCCCTTCAATTTTACTAAAGCCAGTCATCAATCCATATCCACTATAAAAATAATTTAAATTATATATTTTAAAATAAATATCATCCTCACAAAATATTAATTCATTTTATTTACTAGATTAAGGTTAAAACAACCCAAAATCAGAAATAAATATTTTGAAGATAGAAAAAAAATTCTCGAAATTTTCAAACCAGGACTAGTCTCCCTTTGGCCTCCTCTAGTTGCAGTCCTGGTTCTCATATCCCCACTTCCATATTCCTATGAGCGAGCTATACATTATTATATTATTAATTAAAACAGAAATTAACAGTGGCCCATTGTGACTTACAGTTTATGTTCAAAAAAGTTTTTCTTTTGGTTTTGGCTAATGATAATTCCCAATCCAATTATTTTTTCTAAATTAAACCCATTCACTTTCTTTTTGTATGAGAGTTTTAATGTAAATATTATTTTTTGAAATAGACCAATGATAAATAACAGTTGAATAGCTTTCATTAGCACTTACCAAGTGTTATCATGGATTTTGATGGAACTCCAATGAGTTTTGATTGATAAATAAAATCGCCTTTGTGGTCCAGGAAAGCAGACAACAGGCCACAGGATCTTTCACCAGTTAAAAGTGTCTGGAATAGCTCACATGTGACTCTTGGTCTCACAATACCTGAAATTTGGTTTAAAATTATTACATTTTATCTAATTATATAAATTTTCATATGTTTATAATCATCTATAATCTCATTTGATTTCTAAGAGTTATAATGTATTACAATTAATTAATAAACTTATATCAAACAAAAATAGTAATAATAATAAATATAAAAATAAGGAGGCATTTACACAATGAAATTAAATAAAAATCTCCTAAATTTCCCTTCTATTTATTTAAACATGAAATTTAAAAGTATTCAAGAGTAAAGACTATGAAGAAAATAGTGCACTATGTTCATGATGTAGATCTTTCAGTCAACAGAAAAATCTCTTCTACACTATATGACAAATTTAAGAAAATGAGATATTGTCTAGTGTTCGCATGTGTGATACTTGGAATATTTTCATCTTTCTATGTTTTCTGGACCATTTTAAGTAATTTACTCGTACAGAATTTTTGATATCTTTCAAGAGAATAAGCCATTCATCTGAAAAGCATTTATTTTGTCTCGATAAGTTTTAATTTATTACAATAGGAAATGATGCAAAACCATTCAGCTAACTGAGATGGTTTGGCTGAAATGTTGGCTATGGTAACTAAAAAAAAAAATAATTCTGTTTGCTATTTTTATTATTTTTCACTTTGACCGGTTTTCAACTGAATGATTTTTAACAACTCTATTAAATATCACCTAAATATACCTTTCAGAAACTTTGTGTGATAGTTTAAAAATAGTAGACCAGTTATTTTTTATTTTTATAAAGTTACTGTCCTTAATCAAAAACATTTATCAAATGTGTCTAGTGAGTTCTTGTAAAAACCTTAACATTTAAGTAGCCTTAACATTTAAAAAAATCCACCTGCAAATGAACTAACTAAAATTTAATAGATAGACTCATAGCTGAAATTCTTACCTGTTATAGAAATTTGAGAACTCTTTGATGTAATTGTCAAATGCAGTTTTGATCTTACTAGTAGACGGAGATCATGAACGGATACAGGTGTACTGGTTGTTATTTTGTTAAGCTCAGGTGATGCCTTTTCAACTTTTATAGTCTGAAACACATTTAGGAAAACTTATTATATGATTGATTTTATTTGAATACTTAATAAGAGTTATATTATTTTTTTAGTTTCCCCTCATATAGCTGAGAATCCTGGAATGCTATTTACAAGAAATATAAATTTTCAAATTATCCAAATTAGTGCTTCTTATTATCAACCTGAATATTGATGATCCTACATACTAAATCTTGGTACTAATCTGCTACATTGGTTGTTTGTATGAAGATAGAAGTGTAAAGACTTGTGTTCTATAAGAACTATTAGTTTCCTATTTGTAAACTTTCCATACAGAGGTCATATCAAACCGATGTTTCTGTCTAATAAAAGAAGGATCTTAAGAAAGAAATAAAAACTTTGTTTATATCAGACAACTTATTGACCACTGATAGAATACAGACATGTAAGCTATGACATGATTAATGTAAGACATGACTAAGGCTTGTCTGTAACTCCTTAAATATTTATGAAGCCAAGTTTGTGGTAACAAGCTTTTAATCTTTTTTTTTTTTAATTATCAGAGCATAAGAAGATTGAAGTTTGTGAAATAGAAGATGTTTAAATAATAAAAAGGGCAGGAGAACTGTTGATTTGCACATGCACATATTGTAACTTGTCAAATCATTTAATTACAAGAGATAGTAAAATTTGGCAACTATCAAATGAGCAAATTCTCAGGACTTCAAAGCCTGATGCGAAATCAAACCTAAGTCTCAATGAAGAATACAAACTTCATGCATAGGCATCAAAATATACCAAACTTTGAAAAGTTAGTTAACTGGTCATCTCCCAGATCAAAAAATAACATGAAGAAAGTGAAGAATGCCTGTTCACTGTTTTTGTAAATTGGCGTATTTCATATTCCTTGTAAATCTAAATCTCTCATCTTCAACAGATTACATGACCTTGGTCTGGGAATTCTTAAACATATAGTGATCATTGCAACAAATGCTAGAGCTTTATCAAAAACCTCTATTTTTGTTACTTATGTTTTTTTTTGTTTGTTTTTTTTACTTCTAGATACAGAATCAATTGAAAGCATCCAAATACGTTTGATTTTAATTGAGCTCATTTAAAAATAATAATTTTGATTTTGATTGAAAGCCCTTGGATTTGTACTCCTATTAGAGTAGGAAGGAAAATAAAACTGGCCAAGGGACCATTGCAAAATAAAACTCAACCTTTATACTTCAAATTCAAATCAAGACCAATGCTATCTCAACAGTGTCAGAACTCCTCAGTATGCTCAATTACTATATTAGTGGAGGTTGTATTTATAGAAAGGCCTAGGATAAATTGCACTTTGGCCAAATTACTTACATATTGTCCATTATTTTAAGCAGACTATATTACTAACAGAAAAAATAATACTTTTTAAATAAATTACGTTATTCTAATTCTAATGATAAATTTCATGAAACTATGCAAGTTGATTTATTAAAATAAAAATATTTATTTATACCTCATGAATTATATCCTTTCCGTCTGGTGAATGCAGCTTAACTAATACAGGAGCGTTGTTGGTATCCTCACCAGTAAAGAGACCCGTAAATATTAGTAAAAGATGGATTGATGGTGTTGCTGTTGAAACTGAAACAATAGCAGTTCCTGCAGAACCAGGCTTTTCTCCAATGAGTAAAGCGCTCTGTTCTTCTGTTGCCAGTTCACTATATCTATAACAAAAAAAAGAAGAAATATTTACATAAAATAGATATCTATTCCAGATTGTTCATTGAAATGGAAGAAGAAACCAATAACAAAAGTAATTTTGTTGTTTACTACTACTTAAGAACTTAGTCCATCCTCATCTACTGCTGAGCCGTAAATGTGGATTTAATCCATTAAATGGATCAGTAATGTGGAAAAGGCTTTAAAATTTTGAAAAGGCTTCACGATTTTGCGTTTCATCCTTGTGCAGAGGCCTTACTAATCTTCTCTGTATCATTCCAATTTGTAACGCCGAAGCAAGCACTATTTAATACTACTTAATTTAGAGAAAACCTAAAAGAATTAAAAAAAAAAAATCTGTTCTGCAACAACCCAAGAAGGGTCTAGGTTTTAGTACTTATAGAGGAAGTACCATTTCAATACCAATAGTTGTTTAATTAGGCCCAAGTATCATGTTTAACCACCAGATTTTTCCTCCTTAATATATTAAGTAATTGATCTTAGTACCCATTAATTAGTTGATAAAGTACCCACTTTATAGAGTCTGAGAGTGCACCTATCGGGTCCCTTGGCCCAATCGCTGGCTGATGAAACAGAATGAATAATTACCTGCTACAACTGAACTCGAATTGGGATCATTGAGAATAGTAGTAGAGTGCCTTATTCACTGAGCTGTGTAAGATTTTACCAACCATTGGGGTCTGAAAGGAAAATGTAAGCCTGATCATATAATTTGTGAATTTTAAGCCTTTGTCTTCTACGGACTGCAATTCATAAAGTTTAAAGCAAGTAGGTAATTAAACTCGGAGAAATCACTGAATGCAATGCTGAGAAATTGAAGTACTTTGTAAGAAGCTTTAGATTCCTTTGGGATCTCTAAGTGAATAGAGGATATCTTACGAAAGTTCAAATGGGGTTGTGGTCAGGAAAGGTTACTTTCCATCAAAAATAATAATAATAGTGAAAATTACTGATCCATTCCGCACCCTCAAAACAACTATGATCATGAAAAATTACATTCTATTGAATTCATTATAATTAAAATGAACAATTATAATGCTAATAATTCATGTCAATAATGTAGCAGAGTCAAAGCAGGTATCTAATTTTCAAAATAAAAATGTATTGTAATATAATTTTTACCTCAGAACATGCCCAGTTATAACCATTGTAGGCCACACAAGAGATATTGAAAGCGCTTCTTCTCTTAAGAGCCTTCTATAATCTCTTGGTAGTCTTCTCCAAACTCCGCACAGTTTTTCAGTTGCATTTTCATACTGAGTACCGAATCCAACTTCCTGTAATACAATTGTGAAAAAAAGTTTTTAAAAAAGTTGTATTGAATGAAACATTAACTATCCAACTTAATTATCCTATCTATTATTGTGGTATTTTTCAAGACAGTATAGCTAATCTAGGAATAAGTTATTATTATTATAAACTTCTATAATATTTAGGAAACTCTATAAATGAATAAAAATGGATATTTTAAGAAAACATTCTTTTTTTTTTCTTTGACCTCTTGATATGGTGTAAATTTCGGGCACCATAATTATTAAGAAGATTAGATTATTCAATATCTGATATCACATTTGTAATTATTTGATTAATTAGTCTATTTCAAATATGCATGCTTTTAAAAGATTTATTTTCATATAGATAATAAAATATTACAAAAGTTTTATTATTGTTTTTTATACATCCTGTAAATTTGAAATTTACCCATACAATTTTAAATGTTCGGAATATCAAAACATGGTAATAAAATATTTATACTAAAATGATAATATTTAAAATCACTAATAAAGGCCTTTTTGAAACGAAATTGTGACAGCGATTAAATAAAATTATATTGAATAAATTAACTACTTTAAATATAAACATATAATTTTTCAGGTGTGGGTGGGTCAGATACTGTTCTATAGTACAAATTTCAAACTATAATATAATGGTGTACTAGAAATCAGTCTTGAGCTTTTTAAACATTATATGGAAGTGATTAATACTTTACATCAGCATATTATCAAACACCGGCTTTTTAATTCAGCCTCTCTATGGCTAAAAGTCATATATAATTAAATGTTCTGGTCGCCACTCAGTCGCTATTATAAAAGGTTAGAGAATTGATTATGAGTTGGCGAAGGATAAAGATGAATGCCCCATTACAGAGAGTTGTGGATGTCAGACGTTAATTACTCTCTGAGTCAATTGATATGTTCCCTATAATGATGACATATACTACTCTACCAGACATATAAGTCGGTGTTATTGTCTTAATACAGCTGTATATCTCTGTCCCTTTCTTTTCTACCTCTTCTCTCTTTTAGGCTTAGGAATCATTACATGAATAATTCATCGTTAAAAACCTATTAGTGAAATAACTGTACTTTTATGATGTCAGTCGTCATAATTCTTATTAATAGATGTCATATGCTATTAATTTATGGAACAACAGACTGAATTAAATCATTTATTCAGAGATAATTTATACCACCTGAAATCATTGTACATCAAAGATCACCGGTTCAAAGCTTTTCTCAGCCACTTTATTAAGGTTTGACATTAAATTAGTTTTCATTACAATAATAAACAAATTACGATTATTACAAAATACAATAATTATTTTTTTTTTTTTTTCACAATTTTGCCAAGAAATTATGTGAAAATCTAACATGAGAGCTATTAAAAAATTGGTATAGATTTTTTCTAAAGTTTTACCCTTGATTGCTTAAATTCATGAAAATGTAGGAAAAATCTATCTAGAATTAATAATACGAAGATATTAAATCCAAATATTATAAAAACATGTTTTTGTATTTACTTTACTGAATAGTTGACATAAGAAATGGCACAAAGTTTGGGAAAAAATTAATTAATTATTAATTATCTCGAAATAGAGAGCTTATAGGTATTTCAATTTAATGAAAATAACTTCATATTAAATTTTTTTTTTACTATTAAATAGTTATAAACAAAACTGTAGATGACCATACGTCAATGATTGTTTCAATAAATGTAAAGACAATCCAAGTTAAATTCCATTTTATATAAGATGTATATATATTTTTATATTAATTTATTTGCAATTAGTAAAATGTTTAAATTTATTTATTTTTATGTAGAAGAAGAAAGAAGAAAAATTCTTATTTTATTAATTACAAAAACAAAACAAAAATAACAATTTTGGATTTAAACCGAAAATCAGAAAAAAATAGTCTGGTAACCGCCAGAGGATTTTATTTTATGATTAATTCAATAAATCTTACCTGTTCTTCTATGATATTGCCCTGCCTATCAAGAAACTGAACCAGCTGAGGTCTAGAAGTCACATATAATGAATAGTGCAAACTTTTCTTAGTAAAGCTAAACCTGGCTGTTGCTGATTGACTATCCCCAGCCAAGACGCTAGCATAATCTGCAATGAAATATAATAATAAATATTTTGAATTATTATATCAGTAAAGGTTGTATACATTAAATTAAGTTTTTTTTTAAACTGGCATGAAACTGATATAATGTGTTTGTTTATGACTGATCAAGGAGAATAAAATATGCATGTCATTTTGTTGTTTAACTAATTGTTTTTTCTTGAGATTTTTTCTTTGTTTTATAAAATAAAATAACTTACACTTATAGTTCTTGTCATCTTCTTCTGGTATTGGTTGAACTGCATCTTGCACCAAGTCCACATCTGTAACAATTTTTGGTAATTAGATATTTAAAAAAGCTAAAATTATTTTGCTAAGTTGTTTCATAATGCCTGAAAAATAAAGAAATATATAAACACATAAACTCTATATATATTATATTGGTATTTATTAAAATAGTAATTCACTATATTGAAAAAAAAAATATTAATATTTTGAAATATCAGATTTTAATATTTTAATCTTTATAAAGAGTAGGGATGTAAATATCGACAATAATATTGATACATCAAGTGGATACTTAATGAAGGAGATAATATATTCAAATTTCAGGACTCAATAAAAATATAGCTATCTCAGGGCTCAATGGTTTTATTCTTTAATCGATTATTTTTCTTATAGGAAAAAGCAAGAAATGATGGATTTATTGTAAAATATGTCCAAGAACCAATTGTGACTGCCACCACTCTATTATGCTTCAACAAAGAAATTAATACATGAATGCATTTATTTTAAAGGTGAGCTGTTTTGAATAAATTTGAAACTTTGAATATATTCTTTACTTAATATTTTTTTCTTTCATCAATTTTAGTCATAAAAAATAATAATTTTAATAATGTACTTTGATATTTAAATAATTATTAATTAGATTTACTTATTGAATAAGAATCGCCTTAACTAGAGTTAGATAGATAAATAGATTTTTTTATAAAAGATATTAGCAATAGATTTGAATAGTTTAGTAACATATTATCTTAAGCAAATAGAATCAGATCGATATGTGAGAGTCTGTCACGGGTTTTCTGTAACAGATGCTTTATCTGTATTCCAGAACAGGGAAATGTTTTGTCCTTCAGTGTTATAATCATCTTGTGATAAAAACATAACATAAGTTATTAAAAATAAACATTACTAAAATTTTTAGGCTCTCATGTATGATAAGTTTCTGTTTTTTATCAACTCAAGATAAAATTTGTTGGATTAGATCAGGGTATATTTTAGTAATCTACAAATTCAATGACCCAGTTCTTTGCCATGATGATCAAAGATAAAAATTAATTTTTTAATCATATTTGGTTTACTAATAATAAGCTACAGTTCTTACTATGCATGATTAAATTCTAATTACTAAATATTAGGTCTTAGAATGATGAACGATTTAGCAAGACATTCACTCCATGATATTGAAATGATTTATTTCATTATGAGAAGAAAATATTAGAGTTATCTTATATATCATTGCATTTTCGAATCATAATGTGAGATAATTATAACAAAATTAATTATCAAGATCATTTCCGATATAGTGATTATTGATGTTAAGACTTTGATGCTGTATTCTCTTTAGATTTTACTATCTCTTTTCGAGACGAATGCAGTATTGATTAAATAGCCATCAATTTAAAGTGGCTTCAATTAATTTATGACATGATTGTTTCTTTTAATTGGTGGTGGTAGATATTAAATTCCTTGCAGATGTTAATGGCTAATCTAAAAGTTAACAAGAAAGGTAAATAATGGTAAGTACGAAATTTAAGAGAGTTAAAGAAATTACCATTTAAACATACTTTCAACCTTTTTAAACATATTTCTCTGTATCTGGTTAAAAATACTATCAAATAAAAAAGGTTGTTTCTGTAATAAAATGTTTAGTATTATTCGAGCTATTCTAATGTAAAATGTAAGTTTTACTATACCAACAATATATCTAAGAAATATTTGGAAGGGGGTCATAAAATAGGCTCTCAATACATTTTCTAACTAAAGCTTAAGTTTTTTACAGCTTCAGTTTCTAACAAAGAATTATCCATCATAAGTGACTGTTGAAATTTTGTTTATTTTGATATTTTCTTTGAAATTCTCTTTAACACTTTTATTCAGTTCTTCACCTAAATAAGAAATAAATCACTTTTTTTATGTACATGTTAGAGTCGTAAAACATTTTCTAACGCTATAAGTTCAAATCATTCATAATTAATCAAAAGCAAACTGGGAGAATATCTTGAAAGATTTATCTTACCATTCTTGTTCAAGCCACCTAATTTATATAATTATATTTTTTTAATTACAGAAAAATTATTTTTTGACTAAATCATTTGTAAAAAGAAAATATTTCGAACATTATTTTTTTTTAAAATTAGTAATTCACAGACATTTATAATGGATTACAACAATCATATAATGAAAAATATTAACTAAATAAACATAAGCATTAGAATTGGTAAATTTTAACTAAAAATTTTGGAATGATACTGATGATGGACATTTAAAAAAAAATTAATTTGTAATTTTTTTTTAATTTACCACTGTGAATGTAAGGAAATACATATTGCCACTTTAGTCACTTTTTTTGTCATAGTTTAATAATTTTTATTTTTAACTATCACAATGAAAACCTCTTATTGGATATCAGCCTCTCATGGCTTAAGAATTATCAGAAATTCTCCATATAACTTTAATATCAATTTACAACAATTTTTTAAAGGCATAAAGTTATAAATTTTTCCATTTAAATTATGAAAAATAAATAAATACGGTGTAAAAATCAGTTTTGAATTTATTATGTGAGGAAATTCTTCTAATACAGAATAAATATAAATATTAATTTTCCATGAAGCTGTATTACTCCAGAAACCAGCGTTATAGAGACCCAGGGTTATCCACACAATTACGTTTTTAGAGGAACTCATAAACGAAAATTAATCTTTGAAAAATTTTCTTTTTTTTAAAGATTCATCCTCAAACTATGCTAGTTTTGTGGTCTGATTCACAATCGGATAAATTATATCACAATAAAACTATGGTTTCTATTTCATTAGATTTGAAATATTTGTTTTTGCAATTTTTTTGAAAGTGTGACTGAAAGAAGAGTCGTTTTGATTCTGCCAACAATGCGGTGAGAACATCGCTCAAGGATTTGAACAGTCCGGCACGATGGGCACGAACCCAATCAGATAAGTGCAAAATGTCGCTGACTCGAGTTCCGCTTATGTTTCACTATTTTGTCTAGGCCTTTTCTCTGATTAAAGGAACTGTAATAATGTACAAAGGATTGAATAGGCAAAATGACAAAAGCAATTAGATTGTTCTCATCTTTTTGCTGTAGTAGAAAGTGATAATGTTATAATAGTATGATGCGAGGTATTTGGTGAATATTTTCTACCGAGCGAGATATTTTGTTCATTTTCTTTTCATACTTTATCAGATATGGTTCTGTGGAACTTTACTAAGATCTATAAAGTCTGAATAGTCGTACCGTCCGTTTGTTTGTGTACAGTAAGTGAATCGGGTTCGATTGCTTGATTTAAACTTTTAGGTATCTTGTTATATCTGTAAACCGTGCCAAACTTTTGTTTCAGTACGTTAGTCTTTCTAAAAATTCTTCTTCAGAGAAAGTCACATAAGTATCTCGACTTCTTGCTGTTTTGACGTTTTATTTAAATCTATCTTTTGATTTTTCACAACCCCTTTTAGTCTCAACATCCTTTAACCACTGTTAGAACCCTGATTTCGTCAACTCGAAGATTTGGACCTCCAAAATAGGCTCTGCCACTCCTAGACAAGGAGGGCTACGCTGAGAGGCAGGAAATCTACCCGGATGCTTCCAGTAAAAATAAAACAAGTTCCAAGGCTGGATCTCTTTGTGAGTCGTGATTGTCTGAGAGCAAGCTCATTTACATTTGGATTTGTAAACTGGCAATTTACCTAATATAAATTACATTTACATCTCATCCATTATTATTAGCTAGGATCTAGACTGACCCAAACGCTAGGGGTCAACAACCACCCATCGTAAGTTTAACCATTTGCTTCGGCTAATCTGATAAAAGTAGCGTGTGCCCGACTTCAAGATACAAGATAATGGTTCTTAAACACTGACCATGTTTGGTGGTAAGGGCAACTGGGACACTTTGATTTAGAAAATTTATTTGATACAAAAGATAGTTCATAGAAATGTCAATATCTCTACTAAACCGACTTTTTAGATATTCGGTGAATACATTTTTAAATATATAATAAAATGAGGAAAATCGTACATCATTTGATACTAACAACTGAAAAGTTCTGTTTTCTAAGAATCTCGTTACATCTTTATGAATGAATAAAGTGTAACTCTCAGCAGTTTAATCTTCATGATCTAGACAACGTTCTCAGGGTCTAGTGAATGCCCAGACTAAAAAGGAGGATTCGAAGATAGACTCAAAAAATCTTGCTGATAAAAGGGATCCCTTATTTCATATAATTATCAAATTAGAAAGAAAATCATGTTTCTAACTACACGATTTGTTAACCTCAGATTTATCGTGAGCCAACATTTTCAGATTAACCAGTATGTGGTTCAGGAAATCGTGCTCATAACTCAGAGCGATCGATTTCATCTTATGTAGGATTAGGATCAAATAAAGGATCAAAATAAAATCTTATTAATGTATAACATTCCAAAGCTGAAAATTAGGATTGACAAGATTTTCTATTAATACAGATGGGGTAAATTAGAGGAGTTGGCTGCCTCGAAACCATTTGGCTACCTGAGGTTCACTTATAAAACAAGAAGACATCAAGGGCCAATCAGAGGCAAGGATGCCTTGGCCCCGGCTAATCAGATTGGAGGAAACACCTCGGTAATCGCACAGTTTCTAAAATATCCGCGTCCGCCATCTGTGACACATACCCTTGACAACTTGGCCAACAGAAGTTTGTGATACCCGATTTACTATTGTAAGCCCAAAATGATGTCTTTGTATATTATAATTTTTATGTGGTTAAATTTAATTTACAGACCATACTAAATGTAGTGAGATTTCTACTAACGAGCATAGAACCTAATAAGTAATTATAAATAAAGAGTAAAATATTAATTATAATATAATCAATATTTTATTTTTTTTTCATTTAAAACTTTAATGATTGACATAGCAACTATTTAATCAAATCGATAATCCAATAAAAACTTAGAAGAACATTAATCGTTGTAACAATTACAACGAAACCATAATTGCTTATTGTTACATATCACATTTATAATTCTCAATCACCGTTAAAT